TTTACCACTCTACAGTTTGGAGATCGCCCCCCTAACTTCGGTTAGGGGAATCTCGGCACTACCTGCATCAACCTGATACAACTGCTCAAAGTATTCAGCCCAACACTCCCTCACCGTAACAGGATCTGAGATGATCTGACCATTTACAGAGCGAATTGCTGTCACCTGTGAAAAGGGCTTGGAATTCAGCTTTCACAGGGCTTGGTATGCAGGACAAAGGTCATTTACTAAGAAATGGCCTTCTAACTCCTCAGTAAGTTTCCTAATAAACTGTTCTGTGTCCCTTCTTAACAAAGGCCGAGTTCTGCGCACCTGAGAACAGTGCAAATCTCTATCCCCTGCCAAGAGAGTCGCACGACAAACATCTGTGGCATCCAGTGTCTCCTGCCAGATGAAATTTCACCTTGCTCTCGGGCGTTCACCAATCGTCTCTTGAACTGCATCAAGCGTTTCACGTTTGAAGGTTTCCCACAGAAGTACAGGGTCCATCAGATTTTTGAGTGCTGTGAAACGACCAGAGACTGCCTCAGCAAACCCCCGGGTACATTCCCCCTCCCTCAGCCTGTCGAAGTGAAACACCCTGGGGTGATCATTGGTCCACTGGGGTTTTTTGAAATGGACTCGGAGGGTAGCCACGACCAATCTATGGTCAGTACCACAGAACTCGGCACTCCTATACACCCTGCAATTCTGGAGGATCCTCCAACGAGTGCTAACGAGTATGTGGTCGATCTCCTTGGCTGCATTACCTGCATCACTGTACCACGTCCAGCGATGTGTACCAGAAGCCATAAATCCTCAATTTCTGGGACCTAGCAAAGTCCCAGAAAAGGAGGCTATTCTCGCTGCCGGTATCAGCTCCCGAACCATGGAGACCGACAGACATCTCATAGCCAGCTCGATCACAGCCAGGTACCGCATTGAAGTCACCCAGGACAACACGAATATCTCGCTGGGGGCACCTGTCTGGCACAGACACTAGTTTGGCGTAGAACATCTCTTTCACATCAAGTTTACAAACATTGGTAGGAGCATACACAGCAATAAGAGACATGAAGCCAAAAGATAGCTTCAGTCTCATTACCATTATACGCTCATTGACGGGAGTAACCTCTACTACCGAGGGCTGGAGTCTGATGGAGAGGGCCATGGCTACTCCCTGGAGATGGTGACCATCGCTGCGGCCTGACCAGTAATAGGTGTAGCCACCTACACTGATCGTTCCGCTGCCAGGTCTTCTCACCTCCGAGAGAGCAGCCACCTCCACTCTCAGCTTCCCCAGTTCCCTCGACAGCAGAGGCAACCAATCATCCTGACGCAAAAAACGGACGTTCCAAGGCCCCACCCTGACTCCCCGCCTGAGGTTTAACCTCGGGCAGTCGCTCTGGGTGGACGCCACCTCTGCCACCCCCGCCGACGCTGCTCCACATATAAGGGGATGGAAGGCTGTGGAACCCATCATCCGCCTACAGGGCTCCCGAAGGCTTTCCCTCAT